TACGGAAAAGCCTATAATGACAAAATTTGCGGCAAACAAATGTTGTTCGTCGATATACACGTTTATCTTCCATTATATGCGATAAAGAATTAGGATACGGACAAGGTTTTGTCTCGACTCTCAATTCATGCTTCTCACATAGCAATTTCTCGTCATTATTCGACGACGAATATGACGATTAGTGCACATTTTTAGTATACATAATCTGATAGACGTTTGTTTTGAGCTCCTTGCAAGATGAGATCGTGGCAGCGTACGTACGTTACTACTTGCTGAAATAATTGCGTCATACAACCGCCTGACGACTTGATTCATAGCGTTTCGTACCCTATCAATTTCTATCAGAATACGAGATCTTGCTTGATAGCGATCTGGTGCTCTACAGCATTCATCGTATCCATGCATATATTGATAATAATTGAATACGATAAAAATAGAAATGACGGACAACTCACGCGTTCTACAACGCCCCTGCTGGCGGTCATATAGATAGCAATGAACCTTATACTCTATCGCGAGACTTCTGTTGGTCTCACTGAAACTTGTTTTGAATATATTGTTTTTAAACCGTTTAATGATAATACCTTTTTTGTACGTACAGCCAGATTAGTTTGATGTGCGAATGAACTGGTACTGCCCTATTCGTTTCGGGCCTACACCTTCCCTTAACGGTCATGGATGACGTCTTACGCGACGGACGTTGTTTTTTGCTCGGATATTCTGGGTGCCAACCATTCCGGAAAACCTCCACATTTTGTAAGTGCGTGTTAGTCTTCTTCAAGATACCTGACTCGCCATAACGGGTTCACCGGGTGTTACTGTCTTAGCGATTATGTCGCTCATTTGTATTGTACCTTAATTTGGTTACAGGTTTTGAAAACCGCGCCAACGAACAAGAACGGCCGGTGATAACCAAATACACCAGAGAGATCGCTTTTTACTACTTCCTTCGTCTCAGCATATCTCGCAACCACTGCTCGTCGCATCCAAATTATGTCGATTGATTTTAGAAAACTTCGTTCTTGTCCTCGCATGTGATAGGTGTATTTGCACATGTACCATTTTTGCATCTACATAAATTCGAATTCAATAATTCCCATCGGGTGTCGGACAAGTTCACTGCGTCTTAGACAGTTTGCGCATTTCTTCTACGCCATATATAGCCATAACCTATCACTTACACGCGACTTCGATTGTCTCTGATCGTGATCCTCACCTTATCTTTATCTTCTACACAAGTATTCCTCTTAATTCAGTTCCGGACGCTCGAATCAGACAGAAGCACCGACAACAGACGGAACACCCGAACGTTTATATTGAGATCTCGAGGACTTAAATAAAAGCTGCGCTAGCATTTTCGAATCAACATTTTTCTGCCTTTGCTGATTATTATATTACATTTCATATACAGCGTCATACGAAAGTCGAATTGGTCGCCTCAACAGTGTAAAGCGCGACAATCTCACGTACCAGAGCCTATCGTCGTGAAATACTTTACAGCACTAAACCTTTTCGCATGAAAACGGATTGATCTGAAGCTTATCGAGTACCACACACAATACATCGAGTGCTAATATAGTCACACGATCACATGAAAAGACGAATGTATTGACGCCGCTACATTGGATTTCTCTCTATTTCAATCGACAGCTCGATACCCGATCATACCGATCTCAAGTAATCGCGAACCCAATCTATTGTATTTTTGTCATTGATCAACATTGAAGGCTTTAAGCTGACTATCGACGGCTTAAATGTGTTCAGGATCTTACTGTAGCGTCATCTAATTCACGCACCCAGTATGAGATGTACTGGAATCTAACGTATCAGATTAAAAAGGCATCAATGCGCGAAGGTATAATGCGTCTGTTTATTCTATAGCGGAAGTTTATATACTGTGCTCTATAATAATTACGAAGCTCAACGTTGACTTAGCGGGGCGGAGGGAAGAAGCTTGTGTCACTATTCATTGGATCACTTGAGGTGATTAATTCGATTAAAAAGTGTTTTTTCGAGACGCCTAAGACCCATTTATACCTTCCCTTTCGCTATATCTGATTTTCTACGATGGGCAGAAAAGAATTTTTCTTCGGATGCAAGTATTATTCTTCTCAGCAAACTAATTCACTTCTCAAAGAGCAATCGAAGTTCGTCCCGCCGGGATAGACGTGGAACTGGAACCTTTTTCGCGGCCGTCTTCTCATTTGCAATCGACCACATTGAGTTAGTTGATTTTATTTAATGCTCTAGCAGCTCTATATTTGGCTATAACGTTCAGCTTTTGTCGTCCTCTGCAACGTAGCTAGTGAACAGATTCTTTACTTCAATCAAGATAAGCTTGATCCACTCCTCGGCCCATCGCTACATCCACTCCAAACTAAAAATCTTTGCAGCATTCCATACACTCTAGAGGGCTGATGTGGGTTCTTTATGCTGCTCTAGATTGTCAATAGCATCGTTGTCCATTATATCGCTACGTGCAGCACTCACTCATATCTCTTAGAAAAGCGATAACTGCGGCGCGCCTAAACCAATTCCAACAACTAAATATTTGATCCATATGTATACTACCAGAAACCACCGGGCACATATTTTGAAAATCCCTGGACGTTGCGCTCTGATGTACAAGCAAAAGGATAATAAGGATGTGGAGAAGGATGATGTATATTTGGGTACGCAAACAACCCATTATATCTGGCTTTGTAAGCCACTTAACGGCGATGTGTTATCGTACCATCCCTCGCGAAATTCTGTTCACGTAACTCCCAGTCCCGATGACAGTGCTATTTCACTCGGACACCGATGTCAGAGTTATAAGATCAATGTCGACAATTTTAGAAGCTTTTATGCACCTCAAAGCTATCGTGAGGGCAGATGACTCCTGTAAAGCAGAGCTGTCGTTCAGTTGACCATATTTGTAACGGGGCACCGATTGCTACGTACTGGACTACCAGTGCCGAACCGACTTTTACTAACAATAGTGAGGGTCAGCGCCGTGTTACATCTATGCACTGCACAAAGGAAGGGTAAACGACTAATACAAAGACTTTGGTCGTAGCAAAAGTAAAAATGATACCCAATATCATTATACCTGGTGTCTCTTATGTCTGATTTGTCCAAACTCAATTATACCAATGGAACTAAATGCATGATGACGTCTACTCACGACCCGTTGCGCGCGTCTAGCAGCAGTTGGTGGGGTGATAGAAATCAACCAATGCGCGGACCTTTGGGTCATCTCAACAATTTCGTTGTATTTGTGATATTGTTAAACGATTATTCAATGTAATATTATTTATTCCTACTTCGCGTGATGGCAATTTTATGTAACGGGCCTCCCCATTACAAAGCTGATGACACTACAACAGTGTCACAATCTTACACATCACAGTTGCAAGAAGGGTGCGACGATGGGTACAAGTTCGTTTATGGCTTGTGTCTAGTCTCGACTAAGTCGATCGACGACCGTAATCGCCATGTCATTTTTCTTGCCGTCAAGTTCTGCGAAAACGACACGACGAAATGGCGAGGGTCACGCTAACACTGCGAGTGTTTCGATCTCGGAACCGGCTCTTTTCACAACGGTTGCGGCTATGGAAGCTTTTACTTCTCCAATAAATGTGAAGATAGTAGTCTCGATGCTAAGTAGACGAAGCAGTCAATGAGAATCGTGTGTAGGCAAGCTTAGCTCCAGTCGCAACGTTCATACAAACAAGTTCCAAACAATTATGTCATCAGTCGTATACCCTCCGGTTTCGAATGCAAACTCTTGTGTGCGTGCCCCTCCATACGTGTATTGCAGTTTCAGCTTCTTAAGTGACTTGATGATTCCACACGTTACGCATTGTCGCAGGGCCACGGACTGGCCATGTCAGGATTCCCGAGTTCGTCCGTCGTTGCCTTCATCCCTGTAATTTTCCCTCTCTTGGACATCAGGCTCGAATCGGTGACACAGTTGCAGTCAAACTTGTTGGTATCAACTACCTTTGAGGACTATTGTCAAGTGATTCGCTCGTGCGTTGTGGAACTGAGGGCTCAGAGGGAAGCCGTGTTGCATTCAAGATGAGGCGATGACGCATAAATATGATATACGCACACTGCAATTTAGAAGCTGCTGCACCACTCGAATCTAGAGTGAAGAAGACGCACGGCTTTATGTAGCAATCCTTTTCGTATCGAAGGCCATGCAACGCCCCATATCACGCCGACCCAATTCCTGATCAACCCCATCCATTCGTTCACTCATTCTGCGTCTTGCGGCAAGACGATCTACTGGTTTCCTCTACCCCTCGTACTGAAGGTCAGTTGTTGAACCACAAAAATGTCCTGTGTATTTGTTTTTACAAATTCCATACAAGAGACAGAACCTACAGTTGCATAGCAAGTTCATACGGCCTATGTTAATTCACCTGAAATGAAGCGATTTTTTGCATGACCTGATCTTTGATTGCTACGGGTTAAATTAGTTTGTATTCTTCATCGTTGTTAGCTTTTATCTCTGCTCCTAATTTAGTCAAACAGCGTGTGCCTTACGTGTCCATCCGGGAAGCGACGCGAGCACCCGCGACGGAGCGCTTTTTGACGTGCAACATATTCGATAGAGGCGCCTATCTACAACAAAAACTTCCATAGCGACGCCTTACAAAGCGATCGCACAACACGGTTCATTCATTGTAGTACCTGCGGTAAGGGATCGTAGTCTGCTCTCACAACGGCAGTGAGGTCCGCTATCGTCGGCACAAGCACACCTAGTGAAGTGCACAGAGGTAGCAACGAATTGTAGCCTACCGACAGAATGTGCAGCGGTCGATCGGATACGCTACTGCACATGAGCAACTTCTATAAAGGTCTGGCACGATTGGCAATAGCGTCAGACACGTACATGGAAACAGATATGGGTCAATGCACAATTATTATAAACTAGAGAAAAGAACTAAAGAAGGTACGTTGCTTTCGATGCAGGTGACGACGTAACGGAACAAACCATGGCACAGAGAGTGTCAGTGGATTTGATTTGTGAGGATCTGGGCATCCTTCCACGCGGCGAATTCGTTTACAAAGCTCTGAAGGTATTGGGCGCGCATCGCAAACCCTTCCTTTTTCAACTGCTCGAGTTGCTCCTTAAACATGGTACTCGGATCCTCATAGATGAATCTAAGTGTTTCGAACATCTTTAGTTCGATCACTTTCGCCTCGGCCTCTAACTCTGGTACTCTCTGTGCTAGTTCAAGGATGATTGCCCTTTCGGGATCAGATAACTCCGATACCATCCTTTCCGACGCGCGGGGCGATTCTATTATCCTAGCCATTTTACACAGCTTTTTGAGCTCCTCGTCCTTGGTTTCTCGTACCACTTTGAGAAGCGCAAAGTACTCGGTACTTTGACGTGAAAAAGGGGCCATCAGTTTATCTCGAGCGTTGCCCAGCCAAATTATCGCCGCGTAGAGCAAGTTCGTAGCCTCAGTTGTAGTTTTGATACCACGAGCTGGCAGTCCTTCGATAGGACCATGCAGTGTCATTCTCTCTTCTTGACCGGAGTCTGCGGCAGCGTGTTGTCTCAGTGGATGCTTGAACTCGTCGACCTCGTGCGGCCTAGCCAGTGCGGCGGTCTTTGTTTGCCCGAGGCCTGAAGCTGGGTCAGCATTGTCGAGCAGCACACTGCAGATCAGGACCGCATGGAGATAGACGGACCGCATCGCAGGACGTCGAAGGTGCAGGGACTCGTGCAGCGGATAGCAGAATGAGTAATGAACAAACGAAATGAGTGGAAGCCCGGTCAAGTAGGAGCAATTGGTTTTGTGACTGCAGGATCGACTTTCCGTCGGCAGATGACGGCCAGACGGCGTCCAGACCAGTTAGCGTCCAGACCAGTCGGCGTCCAGACCAGTCAGCGTCATTGTAAACTGTGTCAGAGGATCCGAATCATCATGATTGGTAAAGCTCGCGGGCGAGTAAAGCCGCTGCGGAACACCTGTGCGGCGGCTGCTATGTGCAGCTTTTGCATTCGAATATTCGGACGAGAAGTGCCGAGGCAGTGGTACTCGTGCGACCGTGCATCAACGTCCATAGCTCATCTTTGCCTTCCATCACATCGCAATTTCTTTTCGGGCACCCGCAATGCGTGGCTTCTTCAGCCAGTAGGCAAAGCTTAACGCCACGGGCTGCGAGTCTTGTCACGCCCGCGCTGGAGGAATTCGTGCGATGACAGCTTGTCTGAGAACCTCTGACCTTTTGAGACTTCCTGTAGGTTGGAGGTCTCATCTAGTATTGGACAGACAGCGACAGTTTGCGCCGAAGCACCCACGGACTGCTCATAGACCTACGATTCGTTGGGCAAATGTAGGAGCACGTCTTCCCACGCTTCATACATTCCAGCGTACTAGTGCCGTCTCGATCAAGCATCAACGACCAGTGCGTGGGGCAACATCGATCGCAAGCCACTCTGGACAAGAGAAAGCCCCTACGTAAAGCTGCTACGATCGTCGATGTACATCCTGTTTGTCGGGAGTAAACCAGCGGCAATCACTGGTGTACGATAACTGAACCCATCGCATCTGCAAGTTGCAGACTGATCCTTGTCCAGAAACGAGAGCGGTGTCTGACCACAAATCCTACAGTAACAAAATCGTTGGTGGTAAAATGGTCCGAAAACGAGATGGCGCACTGCGAAAATTCCATGGGAACGGCCGCGGGAGACACCGGCGACGACGTCATCGTCGACGTGAGCTGCCGCACCTTCCGCAAGACTGCATGGACCAGTTCTTCACGTCACCTCCAGCCTTGCGACCTTCAAGTGATGCGATCAGGGCACGGCTCACTAAAGTAGTACGAATCGAGAAACCGTACCGTACTCGGGATGAGTGTGTCACAAGCGAAGCCAACAACAAGGTATCCGTGCTGTCAGATTGTGAGAGCCGGAACGGAATGAATGTTGCACGTACATAGTTATCCAGCTGTTGGGCTGCTTGACTAGAGACACATGCAGCGTAAAATGTCCGACGGCATGTCAACTACAGTGTGTGCAGCTTCAAAGGTAGACACGCATGTCTCACGGCGAACGTCATCTTCTATGTAGCGCTACACTTTGGAGTCGCCGACTCATAAAACCACGGCCACTTGTGCAGTGAACCCTTCCTTGTAGCATAAGTATTCCGTGGCAGCCGGGATGTCGAAAATTCCACAGACACGCCTTAGCTTGTATTGGTCGAGCGCCATCCGAAGTGGGCGTGCTGTGCTATATGCACGATGAAACGTTAAGATACATAGCTTGTGCGACAGCCCGGTTCATCAGCGTACACATCCTGTTAATGAGACTAGCGTAGTCGATGCAGGCAAAATTATCGCAAAGGCGTCAAGCGTCGACGTATGCTAGATCACGGCATTGACCGACATTCATCACCAAAATCGTCCGCTAAGCCCAGCCGCACCGTCCTGTCGACGTGTTCGTAAGTCCTGCTGTGTGGGCGTCAGAACCGTTTCCATCTCAAGTGCTCATGGCTACATGGCCTTGTCTCCCACACACAACATTGTCAACAGACTGGTGCAGACTCAACTCCCGCATAATAGACGAAAGAGTAATCAGCAGCGAGTTCTTCCTTTTGCACTATGACAAGCCTCAAGATTTTGTCAAGTCTCGTACGTTCAATAGCTCCATGTCTTCGACAGTCTTGTCGGTCTAGTGCTGAAATCATCTCGTCCGTTGAAGTCGAACACCACCTTAGTTACAGTGTTGCATAACATAGTAGTCCAATGAAACTAGATGGGTTCATGTCGGTCCCCGACTCGGGATCGGATCGAGAAATGGAATGCAGTCGAGAGCGCGGGACCCGCACGCCGTCGTGTCCATGCGTCTTGGATATCAAATGGGGATGGCAAATCTGACTACAAAATGTGCCCATCGTAGGAGACGCGAACGGGACGTGCAACTGGCGATGAGCTCGGGACGCGCGCGCTCAATCTACAGCTGACTACTTTACGCGCAAGCACCATTCTCAAGCGACTGATTGTGGTGCGTGATGCTGGTCTCGTGTATACGCTCGCGTCAAGCGCACTGGCAGACATTCATCGAAAGGCGCGTCGGACATTCTTCACTGACGTTGCGCCTTAGAGATCGGCTGCGTCCACGAGACGGCGGGAAGATATCCGACGTTGATGAGTATAGCGTGTCTCCCCAGTACTGCTTTCTTGGCGAGTGAAAGGCTTCTCAAAACACACCAACTAGCCGCCGGTATAAGTAATGATCATTCTTTGTGCCAACGAAGCATCCCGTAAGTAGCCTTTATGGGCACATATCGCGCCACTGGAGTAGCGCATCAATTCGACGACCGAGGACATAACGGTCTACTAAAGATGCGACATTGTCGTTATACGCTGCGATGGGTGGCATTGTGTTCGTTCACATGCACTCCACTCACGTTCAAGTACGTCTGGAAAGGACGCCAACCGCAAGTGGAGCATAGTAAGCCAGACGCTGACAAAGTCACCGACATGAAGGAGATAGCGGAAAACGAAGAGGCTGCTAAACAAACTGCCATATCTTCTGCGCCATCACCCATCTGCTTTGTCCACGGTGCCGCTGATGTAGCTAATGGCTTGAAAATTCGGCGAAGGCACGTAAACGTTGGTCTGACCGCAATGAATCTCGAACACACTTGACGGTAAGAACGGTATACGTAATGCCAACTACGATGATGTACGCATCAACAAAACTGACGCCGACTTCATTGACAATATATCCGGGAAGCTTTCATCGTGGATGCATGAGCCCCTTCTTGTATCAATCGTTCATAACAACTGCAATGCCGCTCATTTCCCAGCTGTCGCCGATCAGGCAGTCGATTAGTTTGTACGGATACAGTCAGCTAGCTCGATTCAATCCGATGCTGAACGACATTTCGTGCAAGCGGCTACGACGTGGAATGGGCAGCACTGCAGCGAAGCTATACAGCTCCTCAAGTCAGAGGAAGACTTAACGCTCTACAAGCAACTTTGGTTTAGACAACCCGACTTGAAGAGTCAACAAGATCAGAGACCTTACGGTCCCTGTTCCAGGGGGACTAAACGATTCAAAGAATTAAACGCACAGAGTTCACGAGGAATAGATACCATGACAAGGCGTTGCTAAACTCCTCAAACGATCACAAGACGTCTCAAATAGGCACGTGTCTATCGGATCAAAATGGGAGCTGAACTTTATTTCTTCTTTTAACCTACCCGAACACCTTAGAACAACGTACTTAACCTACTCACAAATGTCCTGAATAAAACCTCTCACAAGATCTCGTAAATAATGGTCGACAGACATCAGTCTTCAACAATTGATACTGTGTTCGAATAACAATTTTAGGGGATCTCATTCCTTGTGTGCACCACACCTGCTGTCGACTACCAATCGACGTGACACCCCGTTACACCCTCCCCCACCAGATTGAAGTTATACAAAAACGTCAACCGAATTCTTTTCTCGAAGAGGACGGTGTGTGTGCGCTTCTATCTCGCGGTTTGCAAAACACGAAGCACCATGGCATCGACACCCAATGAGTTCTCGGCTCTCTATTCCTACCTCGGCATTGATGTGAAGGTGGACTATGGTAGCGATACCACAGTCCATGGTAAAGAGAGGACAATGCCCGACTCACCAGTGCAAGAGGCACCACCTCATACTGCACGAAACCCATTTGCCGATCGTGGTGATGTCGACGCTCCCTTGGCGCAGCAGTAAACACCCTACGTGGGCGATGCCATCATCACCAACCCGCTCGATGGGCAACAGCAGTTGGTTATCCAACAAGAGGAGAGCGCTCGGAGCCACATGCAGCTTGATGCAACCCTTGAGAGTCGCCGTGGCGGTGTGTTCACTCCACCCAGTGTGGAAGAACGTATACGCCAAACGGCCGGCCGTTCATTGGCAACGTGGGCAATAGGCGCTGAGCCCACATCTCCTGATGTGGTTGCGAGTAGACAGCCACTTCGCGAGAAGTGCCTGGAGCCTTATTTGACAACTCAAAGTCAATATAAGCTGCGACTTGACATGAAAGCACGAGGGTGCACCGGTTCCACTGATAAAGGGTATACCATCCTTCTATTCGCAGGCGAATTTCAGGAGGAAGAAGACAACGCTTTTTTTGGCTGGGTGCATTCGAAACGACACCTCAGCAGCGTGTTAGCTGTGAAAGCAAAGACCGATGTGGTAGACGCTCGTCTGGAACGAAAGCTTCGGTATGATTACGCCAAGATCAAGGCCAGAGTCTATGTGCGAACTCGCGCACTTTATGCTCCGGCTGTGCCGGCCGATGTGATTGTTGGTCAAGCGGTGGCTAACTACCCATCTACTCCCACCACCATTGGTGATAAGCATTCTCGGTCACAGGAAGACCCTTGCCGCGGTGTTCAAAAAAATCCAAATCGTATAGGAAAATTTTCCGAAAGAAAATATCAAACTCTCATGAGTTTTTCGACTCCGGGCAACCTCGTCATTTCTCTAGATACTGATATTGACCGTGACGACGTTGTCATTTTAGGAGTCTCTTCACATGTAATTGGCGGTTTCCTTGCTCATCGAGCAGCGTCGGAGGAGGTAGGTATACCGAGGGAAGAGACGGAGAACCTTTGTCGCGAAGTGAGTTGTCTCCGCGAGACCTTGATTAAGACCCAGAGCGCAATCGACGCGACACAAGATTGCCTACAGGCGGTGGAT